TGGTGCCTTAGACCCATACAAACAGTGAGGAGAGTCACCTGCACTTGCTGAACTTGCCGAAACCCCTCTGCTGCTGCCCGACAACTTTTCAGAACTGCGGCTCCACTAGCTCCCCGAGCTATCAATACCAATATAACACTTAGTCAGACTGTCCTCCGAAAGTCAACCAAGTCAATCCTGGTCAAAGTCAAAAGTCCTGGTCAAAGTCAACCTTCCAGGTTAACCCTACTCGCCGAGTCTGCCTACTGACTCGCCGAGTTCATTAGCTCAGAATCCTTTCATTCGCGACTGGACTCGCCGAGTCAGCCCCTGACTCGCCGAGTCTACCGATTTCCGAGTCCTGACCTGTCCAACTCACTAAGTCCCCACTCAACTCACTGATCCGAGTCTTAACTCGAAGGGTTTGGGGGTTTCGCGACTTGACTCGCCGAGTCCAAGAACAGACTCGCCGAGTCCAAGGTAATCCTCAACAGACTCGCCGAGTTGTTCTTCCAACTCGTCGAGTTCCTGCCCAACTTCATCCAACTCGCCGACTCCACCCATGTGACTCACCGAGTAGCTTTAGCTCTTAACCCATACAGTGGCTTTTCGATCCATGCAGGGGCTCCAAACTGTAGATCCACTCTTCTAAGGCCCATCTTTCACGTAAAGTTGCAAACTTTACGTGAAACCAAGATGCTATAGGCTTAAAACACTCTAGGGCTTGGTTCTGTGACAAGCATGCTTCACCAACCCACCAAAGACTCCTGCTTTATGGGTTTCTAGGCCAAGACAACCCTAGACCCGAAGTTCTCTTTGCTCACAAAGGCACAATACACGAATTGGCTTTGGAAATGGCCCAAAATGACAAAAATCTAACTAGGAAAGGGGATCTAAGTGAATAACAGCCAAGGTATGAGCTTCATACCTTTCTAGGATTTGAAATGACACACTAACACAGAGTCCACTGCTACTTCTTGAATCACCCAAAGTCTTCCTTCTTCCTTATAGCTTTAAATCACTCAAAAATGGCAAGAGAAGCTCAATGACACTCAATGGTTGCTTAGGGTTTCGAGTGAAGGTAGAGGGAGTGATGGAGGTTGGGGTGAAGGCCTGAAATGATGCTTAAATAGGGCACTAATCCCAGAAATTAGGGTTTTCCAACCCAGACCTGACTTGCCGAGCCGGTCCCTCCGACTCGCCGAGTTGGTCACTTAAACCCCGACACGGGCCCCGCTCCAACTCGCCGAGTTCACCCATGGACTCGATGAGTTGACCCTTTAACTTAGGGTTTTCCTTTCCTTTCTTGGTCTTTCTGATTATGGGTGTTAGAAATTAGGAGTTACATCTACAATTAGCCAAGGATCTTAAACATATATCTATTGTTGAGGCTCGTCATTCGATTTTATCTGGGGATAAAACCCATATATGAGTAGTAAGTATGGTTAATACTATCCTATCGTGAGCCTCTCCTGGCTTAATTGTGAAATTACTAAATCACCGATGAATGTTTCCTAAGATCATTTCTTAGACAGGTCTAGGAAGTGAATGTTATTCAGTTAACATAGTTAGGAAGGTAATCTACCATATAATCTATTGTATTGCAAAAGAAGAACATATAATTCCAAAAGTACCCTCCTTGGGAAGGTAAACTACAGGTTTAGGGTTTAACTTCTTTCAGAAACAGTCGAACTTTTTATGCATGAAAACATTAATCATGCAACACAATCAATGCCCTTTAGACTAAACTAATTTAAATAAAAAGAATGATATAAAACTAACGAATAACCTTCTCATTACATGACACTAACTAGGGGTGAGTAAAAACCGCACCACAACTAAAATTAACCGTAAAAACCGCAACCGATAAACTGCGACCGCAATAAAAACTGATGGTGAAGTTTTATGTTTTTCAAAAACCGCAAATTTGCGGTGCAATGCGATTATTAGTTTTCAAAAACCGCACCGCACCACATATATTATATACAATTTTTTAATTAATTATTAATATATTAAATATAATAAGACAAGTTTCATAAAATATTAGAAGACAAAAATGTTGGTTTTTTGTTATATTTAACCTTGGAAAATGGTGAAATTTGACAATTAAATTCTTATTGTTAATTACTAGTGATTTGATGTTATTAAAATATTAGTTGTTTGTGATTTCTGTTCATTATCTTGTATCTTATGTTTTTTTTATTATAAGTAATATATTTGAACTCTAAACTGTGGTTAAAGACCACACAAAATAATCGCACCAAATCCATACGGTTAATAACAAAAAAAAAAAAAAAAAAAAAAAAAAAAAAAAAAAACGCACCGCAAAAGTAACCGCCTAAACGCACCGCAAAAATAACTGCACCAAGCGGTTTTGAAAATGGATTAACCACATTTGCGGTTAGTGGTGAGGTTTTTGAAAATGGATTAACCCATATGATTAACCATCCAATGAGGAAATATCTACAAACCCAAGACACCATCCTTCAAGTGACCTTAATTAAAGAAAGCAAATACGTAGATCCAAGATACCACCCAAAAAAATTGAGACATTAAGGTTGTGTTTGTTTGTGGAAAACTGCTTTCTAGATGTTGTAACCTTAATTGTTGGTTGTTGAAGTTGAAGATTTGAACTATCATATGTTAGACATATTCAATGAAGTTTATTATATTTGGTTGTTATTGAATATAAAATGAATTAGTATTGGTTAGATAATAGATAACCAATCAAATATAAATAAAACCGATCCAATCTAATATCTAATTGTATCGGTTCGATTCGGTTGCATATAACAAATTGGATTGGATCATTTAAAAAAAATCCAATATCTAATGGATAATTGGATTTGATAGGTTCCATTAAAGTTCATTGGATTTAAACCATTGAACACCTCTAGCATGGATGGAGCTAGTAGAGGGCTGCCGGATGCTTTGCCCCCCTTAATTTCCTTTACAATTCAAACTATATTATAAATAAATAATAAACCTATCACTAATTTGTAACCAATGTTGGTTTTTTGTTGCTAAGGCCCCCTCAACCTTTTAAAATTTCAATTATTATAAAGAACACTAATACTAATGAGGCTATACTAGGACTAAAATTGAAGCTCACAACTAAAATTCCACATTTATTTTAATTTAAGTCATTAATAGCTCTTTTTAACTGCCGATTAACGGGTATATTAAGTTACTTTTTTCTTTTTATTCGTAGTAGTGGTTTAATTAAAAAAAATATAGTATTCAACTCCTATTTATATGATTTTTTTCTTAATCATTTTTGTTTATAATTTTTTTCATTATCGTCCAAAACCGTTATCGGGCGTAATATAAGCCCCCCTTATCCTCAAATCCTGGCTTCGCCCCTGACCTCTAGTGAATGAGGTGAAAATTGGTGGTAGGGAGGTTGTGCGTGTGGTGAAGATAGGTGTGTTGAGTGGTGGGTAGGGATGACAAAAAAACCCGAACCCGACGGGGAAACCCGAAACCCGATCATTTCGGGTCAGGTAACGTGTCGTTATCGGGTTTTTTATCAAGTTCGGGGCAGGGAGTGGGTTATCCTCGCCCCGACCCACCCCGCCCCGATTATATATATATATATATATATATATATATATATATATATATATATATATATATATATATATATATATATATATAATATGTTCAAAAAATTTTGCTGTTAATTGTACACGTTCAAATATAAAATACTTATCGTAGATAATTTTTTTAGTTATTAACAATCTGGTGTTAATGATCATTTTTATGTGTTTTGACGTATTAAACAAAACTTAAATCAAATAATTTTTTATATAACGTCCAATTTATTTTATTAAAGTGATGCATCATGTTTTTAATTTAAAAGAGTTGCTAGAACATGTATATTTTATAAGACATTAGGGTACCCTAAAAGAGAATAAAGATTTCGTTATCAGTTGGTGTAACCCGATAAGATACCCGAAACCCGACGGGGAAACCCGAAACCCAATGGGGCACCCCGATAAGATACCCGAAAGTTATCGGGGCGGGTTTAGGAATCCATGCCCCGCCCCGAACCCACCCCATTGCCATTCCTAGTGGTGGGTGTGGTTAGGTATGGGATGGGTATAAGTGTTCATATATTTAAAAAAATTGGAAATGGAAAAATATGAAAAACAATAATTATCAAATTTTCAAGTTTTTTATAATTATGTAAAATGGATAAATCTAAAAAAATTGTCAAACTAAACACATTTTAATAAAAACTAGGTGTGAGGCTCGTGTATTACATGGGTTGATTAAAAAAAATTAAATATAAGGTGTAGACATTAAATATTTTCTAACGTAAAATTTTAAAATAAATATAAATGAAATGATGAATAAGTAATGTAATCTATAATAATAAAAATTTATTATCATGTTTTAAAAAATCATGCTGAATATGAATGTGTAAAAACTAAGTATTTTTTAAAGTAAACTTTTGAAATAAATACAATAAATAGAATAAACCACAAAGATCATTTATGTAATTTGTTTTAATTAATCTATACTAATAAAACTAATTAATATAAATTCACAAATGGAATTTATTTAATAAAAATAAGAATTCACAAATGAAAGGTTTATTATATACATTAATTCACATTAATTACTATAAGGTGACATTTAATAGGTGAAAGCTGAATAAAAATGAAAAAAAAAAAAAAAATACAAAATGACAAGTAGAAAAAAAATAATTTTAAAATTCTAAGAAAATAACATGGGTCAAATTCAATAAGAAATTGACATTTTGCAAAATTTTCTTTATTGATTAGGGTAGACTTATGTGAAAAGCTAGAGAAATTTCCATAAACGCGATGATAACATTTACTTGACTATGTTATCATTGTTCCATACAAAACTTTAACCAGAATCCAGTCACACACACACACACCTTAGCAATGCATCTATCCAACAAAACAACATAACTGAAAGAAACAAAATGTGAATCACAACCTAAGATCAAACAACAACGATTCACAGAAAGGAAGTTGAGTGAGTATGAACTAGCGACCAAGGTATGAAGGAAAATTCCCACCTCCAGATTGTTGTTGCCTAGCTGGCAGTGCTGGTGTTGTGCCACCTGAAGAACGTCCCACCTGAGAAACATTATTATTCTGGTATGCTAACCCTAACTGAGAACCATAACTTGCAATCATGTTTGGGTTAACTGTATTCATTCCATAACCACCATTCAGACCAAAAGACTGCTGTGCTGGAGCTACACTATTCTGATTTAAAGCAGACACTAACATCGGATTCATATTCATAAGCTGAGGAGGAGCATAACCATACCCCACATTCCCAATCTCACTCTGCTGCTGATTATTAGACATATTATTCATAATACCCATTTGCGCCTTTTTGTTGCTTTTATTTCCACCACGTTGATTATCCACAGCTTGTCTGCAATGCAACTGACAACCATCAAAAACCTTATTCGGTTCCTCCAAAGCCTTCTTGCAGCCTTCAACTGTCTTATACACAAACATGGCAAAACCTTTGAACTTTCCACTTGCATTGTCCATCCCCAACGGCCCATCCTCGATTTCTCCAAACTTTGTGAAGTAGGACTTGAGCGCGTTCGGATTCACGTGGGACCCGACGTTTGCGACGAAGATCTTTCGTCCCGCTGGATCTGACGTGGCAGTGACACCGGTCTGGTTGTTGGTGGGTCCACCTGGACCTGCAGAAGCCAGCTGGCAAGATGCCATGCGGGATCCTATCTTTTTCTGTGTTTGTTTGAGGGCTTTTTGTGCGCTTCTTCGGGTCTTGAAGAGAACAAAGCCGTAGCCTTTGGCTTTTCCCGTTACCTTATCCATTAAAACTTTGCATTCTTCGATATCACCGTAAGGTTTGAAGACGGAGAGGACTTGGTCTGATGTGGCGTCCCAGCCAAGGCCGTAGACAAAGATCTTGCGGTGGGCGGGGTCCACCTCAGCAGTCTGGGTGAGGGTAGCCATTATTGAAGTGTCACTCAGAGCTGCTTCTTTGATGAAATCAATGATCTTGGCTTTTGATAATGGCTCTAAAAGCTTCTTAAGAGTCTCCTTTTTAGAACTCTCATCATCTTCTTCTTCATCTTCCTCTTCTTCTTCTTCTTCCTCCTCCTCTTCTTCTTCCTCTTCTTCTTCTTCTTCCTCATCCTCTTCTTCCTCTTCTTCAACCTCTACCTCTTCAACTTCTTCTTCTTCTTCTTCTTCCTCTACTTCTTCAACTACTTGTGTTTCTTCTTCACCTTCTGATTCTTCCTCCTCAGATGTCTCATGTTTAACTGTGACTTTGGGTTTCTTTTCTTCCACTTGTGCTTTAAGTGATGTTCCTGCTCTCTTCTTCTTCATTTGACAGACGCCACTCTTTGTCAAACCGTATGGAAGGGGCAACAATTACCTAAAAAAAGGATGTAGTCATTACTTAATAAACAGGCATGTTTCATTAGATACAAAAGTATAAGGCATGTGTTTAAATATATCATTCAATATGCAAAACATATGGCACTCACCAGAATTTAGCATTGACCTTGGGAAAAAACATTTTATGCATCAGATTCTTTTCAATAATGAAGTTATGGATAATATGTAATGTTCCTTTATAGTTTATAGTTTATATAATAAGCAGAAAACAGGAACACTATGCCTGACAGGAGCAAAGTTATATACTTCTGGAAGAAGCATCAAATGTCATATCATTTGCAAAGTGACATCTTTAGCATGCTAACACAGATCTGAAGTAGAGTTTTGTTAATGTAAACCTTCACACATGGCTTATGCTATCACATTTTACAGTTAATTGCTAAACTTTAGTAAATTCAAGCAGGTTTAAACTTTTGCACTAAGAAAAGAACATGTGTGAACTAGGAAAAAATGTTATTACACCAAGAAAAATAGTTTCAAATGATTACTGAAGCATGATAGTGCCAACCTGTTGTAGGTAACATTTACCTACTTTTGAATAACACAGAAAAAGTGGGAAGGGTTTGATCATTATAACTTATCTGTTCATCCATGGACATCTGTGGAGTACAATTTCTTCCATCTTTCACAAGAAATGTTCATTTTAGTTCTTTTCACAAAAAATGTCTACTTTTAATGCCAATGGACCTATAAGTCTTTTCCAACACTGACTTTTGACTTTTCCAACTTCAATAAGAATTACAAAACATTTTATTACATGATTTTACTTTAAAGCCTTGTATAAAAATGTCAAAACACTGAATTCCATGGATACCTGCAAAATTCAGCAGACATCCACAGGTTTTTAGGAGATGATTTTATTACTGAAAATATCTGCAGAGTGTTAAGTGGAAGATTTCAAACATTAAAGTTCACTGACAGCTACAGAAGTCTGCAGATATCCATGGATGAACAGATTAGTTCTTTTTGTGTGGGTATAAATAGGGAACTTATTTTACTTATATATCACCAAGTGAATACTCAATAGTTGTGTTTTTTTAACCAAGCAAACATGTAAGTGAATCACTGAATAAAGGCACTTGCTATATCAAGAAAAAGCATATCTTCAATGATGTAATTGCATAAGTAAACTACTGTGCAAAGTTCTTCGCAACATCTTCTTCCTAATAACTCCATCGCAGGTGGTCATGTTGCAAAGAGGTATGTCAGGTAACAAACATAAACATGCCAATATTTGGGGTCATGAAGTTGAAGCAACATGATGCCCTTTTGTGAAAGAGTTCCAGATAATGCCATAATATTTGATTTATAATATCTTCTTCACCATTACTTTTTTCCATATCTATCCCCAGTTTGCTTGTTCCATCTACTTCCTGCTTCATATTCCTCACCTAAAGTTTGGGGTTATTGCTTGATAGCTTTTTCCCCTAATCTCCTTACAACCAGAAACAAAAATTCAAATGAGCCAATTCTGTATGTGACTTATGAGGACAATTATGTTTCTGTGGTTTACCCCTTATATTCAAGCGCAAACTAAAATCTCATCCTTATCTAATACACCTAACGTCTACAGCACTCGTGGTTCTCAGAGCAATCTAGGTTTTTCACAACAACAAAATACATAGCTAACGAACAATAACAGAAATATCGAATCAGTTTGCTCCTAACCTAATAATAACCCAATCATCTGCATTCCCCTCTCCCCAAAAAAGTATGATAGGATGGGAAATTTGCTAATGACCAGTTGATATCCCCATTAAATTTCGTACAAATAGAGATTAAATCAATAACTCCTAACCAAAATAAGTCAATGAACAATGAATTATTTGAATCCGATAAACCCTAGTAAACATTTGACAAACAACGAGAAAATATAGCAAGAACATTGTAAATAAATACGGGACTAGTACTAAGAATACAAACGCACGGAGTCATGAAGCGGGATAAAAGACTTACCTTATGTCTCACCGGAGATTGTTTCCGGAAGGGGTTGGGGAAAGAAACGGGAGACGCAATTCAAGCAGGTAGTCAAGCAACTGCGTGACTGGTGTGTACTCGTCAACTACTGTTAAAGCAAGCTTATGGCCTTATGCTTTTACAGGGTTATTGTAAAAAATTAAAAAGAAAAACAGAAAAGAAAAGAAAATACTTCTATTTTGGGCTGGGTTAACATGACTTTTTGGGCTTATCTAACATGGCTTTTAATAAGACGCTGATTTTATAAGAAACGGTAAGTTTTGAGATAATGAAATATATGAGTAAATAATAAAGTATCTAAAACGTTTGAAAAGTACAATTAAATTTGAAATAAGACAATAATGCAGTTATTTTATTTTTAAAAGACAATTGTAATTGGAAAAACCTACTATCACATTTAAAATGGTTTTTTAATAATAAAAACAAAAGTTTGTTATCGGCTGACAACATTTATTTAATTCAATAGTATTTTAATCAATACTTTAGTTTATTTTACTTATATGTTTATACTTCATACGCCTTCTATTCAGAATTTTACAGTATTCACAGTATTAAATATTTTAAAAAATTAGGTAAGTATAAAAACCTTCATAAGAACAATTATAACTAAATTTAGAAATCATATTTAGTAATATATTTATTTTAAAGATCACGATGAGATTTTTAGTGATACATTTTGTGTAATTGAACTTTTACATTTTATGTTCAATATATAACAGTAATGTGATCATTAATGAATATGATAAGAGTATGAAGTAAAACTTCAATGCTTAAAAAACTTATATAAATAATGTTACTTTGATGTAATTTGGCAAGATATCACACCAAAATTTAGTTTATTTTGATTGGCAAGGTTGCAGGATGATCATGATATCTTTGGTTTGAAGCTGTTACTCTTTGTCCCCGACAATTCATACAATAAACATAGTAGTATTTCTAGTTATATTTTACTCTCTTAGACTATTTCTTATATACAAAACAAAACACTAATGGCTGGAAATATGTTGACAAACATATCATCATCATAATTATTGCTATAAATTATTTGACAAGTAAGACCCTCAATTTGTCATGCTCAAGATGATAAGGTATGTTTACATGCAAAACCTGAGTATAAATTTAAAGGCCTACATTTAATTAACCTTGTACCCTGCCCCTTTTTTTTTTTTTTTTTTTTTTTTTTTTTTTTTTTTTTTTTAAAAAAAAACCTCCTAAGTTTAGCTGCAAAAATGAACTCTCATATTGCTCTTCTTTTTTCTCATCTTGTTATATTTCTGATTTTCGCCGCTATTTCTGCTTATGATGGTGGTAACGAGACCGATTATCAGGCTTTATTGAAGTTCAAGTCAATGATTACAAACAAAGGTCTAAGCTCATGGAACGCTTCCTTTCATTTCTGTGATTGGAGTGGTGTTTCATGTGGGAAGCAGAATAAAAGAGTCACTGCTCTAGTATTGGAGTCGCAAGGACTAGAAGGGTCGTTGTCTCCTTATGTAGGGAACCTCAGCTTCCTTCATGTGTTTTCTCTCAGGAACAACAACATTCAAGGAATGATCCCTCATGAAATCGGTCGTCTCTCCAGGCTACGCTTCCTCTATCTTGGCTATAACAAAATCAGCGGAGTCATTCCAGCTAACTTGTCTCATTGTTCTAACCTTAAAGATCTTAGACTTAATAATAACAACCTAGTTGGAAGCATACCTAAAGGGATCGGTCTCCTCTTAAAACTAACTTTTATGGTAGTTCAATATTAACAACTTAACAGGTGGAATCCCACCTTTCTTGGGGAATATAACATCAATGAAAGTGTTCTCCGCTAATGACAATCCATTTGGTGGGAGCATTCCAGACACCTTAGGCCATTGGAAAAGCTTGATAGAAATTGATTGTGGTGGTTATAACTTATCTGGAATCATCCCTCAATCCATCTATAACCTCTCACTCTTAACTTATTTTTCCTTGCCTGAAAATCAGCTTATTGGTACTCTTCCCTTAGTCACAATGCTCCCTTATCTTGTGTACCTTCAGTTATGGGGTAACCAACTTACTGGACCTCTTCCGCGCTGGATATCTAATTGTTCCAAATTACAACATCTTGAAGTGACTGCCAACTATTTTAGCGGGAAGTTGACTATCGACTTTGCAAAATTGAAGGATATCTATCAAATATCCTTAGGTGTTAACACCTTTGGATTCGGAGAAACTGATGATATGAAGTTTATTGATACCTTGATAAATTGCAGCAGACTAGATGTGTTGCTTCTTGATGATTGCAAGTTTCAAGGAGCGTTGCCCACATCAATTGGTAATCTTTCTGACCAACTCAGTTTTCTACATTTAGGACGAAATCATTTCTCTGGAAACCTCCCTTCAAGTATAGGTAATCTAGTTGGCCGAACAAATTAGTTTTGGGAGAAAACCGATTTACTGGAATAATCCCCTCCACCATTGGTAAGCTTCAAAATCTACAAGAAGCTTATCTATACGATAACCAATTTTCAGGGCCAATTCCAGATGCCATCGGGAACTTATCATCACTGACTAAACTTTGGTTGAATTCTAACAAGTTGGAATGGCATATCCCATCACTCCTTGGAAATTGTCATAACTTATCGATGTTATACCTTGATCACAATGAATTCAGTGGCCCAATACCTAAACAACTTCATCAAATTCCAGCTCTAACCATAGCATTAAATCTTTCTCAAAATAACCTGATAAGCCTAACTAATCCTATAGTGCTTTTAGTTTCTAAAGAGTTATTCTGTTATCTTTTTGGCTATAGGGGTACTTTGGTCCTTTTAGTATTATGGCTGTTATTGGCTGTTTTGTTAGTGGGAACAACACCTGATTTATATTGGCTGTTATTCCCTTTTATGCTTTTCTTTAGTAGTATATATAGTAGTTAGTAGTATGAGGAAGGTAGCTAAGAATTAATCTGTAAAGAACTTTGTTCTTCTTGGAGAGACCATTCCTCTCGAATGAATGGAAATCTATCTTTAATTTTCTTGTATTATTGAGTGGTTTTGTTCGTGTGAATCTGTTGGAATGTCTGGGGTATATGATAGATTCAACAAGGATCTATCACAACCTGTTTGGGTCGCTCCCAATAGAGGTCGGCGAACTCAAGATGTTGAGTTCTCTGGATTTATCTCATAATAATTTATCCGGTAACATTCCTAGTAGCCTTGGTGGTTGCACTAGTCTCGTATTCTTAAACCTCAGAGGCAACTTATTTCAAGGCATGGTACCATCTTCATTAAGTTCCATGAGAGGAGTTTCAACGCTCGATCTTTCTCACAATAATTTATCGGGAAAAATTCCTCAATTCTTGGAACAGTTGACCTTATTAGAATATGTAGACCTATCCTTTAATGATTTCGAGGGTGAAGTACCGGTGATAGGAGTGTTTGCTAATGAAAGTGCATTCTCTGTTTTGGGAAATAGGAGGTTTTGTGGTGGCTTGCCTGAACTTGAGTTGCCCAAATGCAGGGAGACACATGATAAACATAAAAAAAGGTTTCCTTTGTTCGTCATACTCATTCTGGTCACATCCACACTTTTCACTATATTATGTTTTGTATATGTTTGGTGTAAGAAAAGGAAGAGTCAACCATCTCAATTGTCAAGGAACGAACAGTTCATGAAAGTATCATATGCTCAACTTCTAAAGGCTACCAACGGCTTCTCCCAAGCCAATTTGATTGGCGAGGGTGGGTTTGGCTCTGTTTATAAAGGAGTCCTTGATGATACAACTGTTGCAGTCAAAGTTGTTCATCAGCAAAACCGAGGTGCCCACAGAAGCTTTATAGCGGAGTGTGAAGCATGGCGGAACATTCGACACCGGAATCTGTTGAAGATAATAACTTCATGTTCAAGTGTTGACTTTCAAGGCAATCACTTAAAAGCTTTGGTATACGAGTTCATGCCCAATGGGAGTTTACATGACTGGTTGCATTCAAGTTCAAGTACATCCAGGCTAAACCTTCTTCAAAGAATAAAAATCCTCCTTGATGTTGCATCTGCACTTGATTATCTTCACAATCACTGCCAGCCATCCATCCTTCACTGTGACCTGAAGCCTAGCAACATTCTGTTGGATGATGATATGGTGGCCCATGTTGGAGACTTTGGCTTAGCTCGATTTCTTGGAGCAAATTCAAACAAAAACAGTACAAGTGGCATTAGAGGAACGATTGGATATGCACCTACAGGTAAAGTTCATGTATGTATTCCCAGATTCTTATACTTATTTATAGTGTTACCTTTTTTAAAATAATTGCTTATAAGTTGCAGAGTATGGTGTTGGGAGCAAGATGACAAGTAGTGGAGATGTCTACAGTTTCGGAATATTATTGTTGGAGGTGATGACAGGGAAGAGGCCAACAGACAACATCTTTATTGAAGGCCTTACCCTTCATAGATTTGCATACATGGCCTTGCCAGACCATGTAACTGATGTTCTTGATGATGATCTTCTGAATTTTCTTCAAGAGGATGCAATTCCTACGATAGCAGCAGATGTAAAGAAAATAGAGGAATGCATGGCTTCAACTGTCAAACTTGGAGTATCATGCTCTGTGGATTCCCCAGCACAACGGATGAATATCGTAAATGTTGTCCATGAGTTGCAGCATATTCTGGATACACTTCAAAATAGTTGAGGTGTCTTGTTAGTCGATATTTTGGGTGTTAATTGTTAAATATGGATGTATTTGAGTATCTGATGAATCTTGTATTTTGTTGAAATAAGTTGTGAAATAAATGGAATGAAGGTATTACTTTGAGAATATGGTGGCCTTTTGAGGATAAGAATGCATAACCTACAAAATCCTTGATTTGAAGATTATCAGTGCCAATGAAGCTTTGTTTTCCCTGCCTCCTAGATAAATGAAAGCAGGGATCGATCCAGCTGTGTAAATAAATCATAATTCAAAATGAAAACTAAAACCCTTATTGCATAACAATTTACCATTTTACTTGAAAAGTCAAAACAACCAACAGATGGCATATGGCATGGCAGTAGAGCAATCAAGATAATCCATGGACATAAGTTATTAAAAAGGAAGTGATCATGTTTCCTTCTTCAGTTGTGTTCATGGACAAATCATCATCTTTATCTTTCCATTTAACTTCAATTGGTCCATCTTTCTCAGTTCTTGACACCATTAGGCACAGAAAATTTCCTCAACATATTGGAGTAATATAGTCTTCCTTTCTTATATTAGATTTTAGCAAGGGCAAAGCAGTAAGTAACCTTTCAATCTCCACATCACTAATTGTCCTGATTGCAGAACTCTGGCATTCAACTGAATAAGAGCACAAACCAATATTTGATTATTTTCTTCAAAATATTGAAGTAACATTTAACTTTCTTCTTAAGAGTGGTATACCAAGGTCCATGAATTGTATAGACCTTAAACTACAAGTCTACAAGTAGCAAGTTTTATTCATGTAGAATAGAGTTTAGGGTTTGGAGATCATAACCAGCAGAAGCTCTATGTTTCTTTAGAACAAAAGGTCACTGGCAAAGAAATGTTTGTACTCCTAACAAGGAATAGACCATGACTGTCTACAAGAATCCAGACCAAAAGTTGAAGTTAACAACAAAAATGGCATGATATAAAATGACATGAATAATGGCAATGTAGTAGTAGTAGTTAAAACAAAAAAATGGTTAACATGGTGTCCTTAAAATACTACAAGCTACTGTCAAGGAATTAAAATAACTACATATCAAGTTCAAAGGTTAGAGATTTCAAATTTTGGCTGTAGAAAGTCAAAATATGATATCTAATGGAAAAGCCTCAAGTTCATGCTAATTAGCGTGTCTATGAGATCCAACAATGAGTAATCCAACAAAATGGCACTGTTGACAATCTAATCTAAGCAATCCAGATTCGGTTATACTAAACAAAGCATCTTCAAAATCAAAGACCTAAACATTACAAATTCCCATAAACACGGAAGTTCCTTGACAGAATTGAATTGGACCGCAAAATTATTACCAATTAAGTACGCTTTTATCTCCTTCTACGTTTTCAAAGCACAAAACTACATTGGTACTAAAAAAATTTATAATAAAATCAGATACCTTATTGGTAAATAGATGTGTTTCCTTCCGGAAGCCTATTTGCATCAAACTGAGGTCAAGTATTAACCACGTATGCACGGAAATCAAACTTGGGGGCATCATATAAGCGGAGAAATTACTCACAATAAAATTCCAACACCGCAATTAGAACTCGGTGACCCTGCAAGAAATTAAACCACAGTAACATAGAGTGCATCACGTTACCATTCAACGTATTGTCAAAGAAAGTATTGTTCTTGTGCGAAAACCCTAACTTGTATATCGCATGCTACCCCGTTTGATAAAAGTCCTCAATTAATATGTACCAGTCTCTTTCCCACGATTAGATTTTGCTTAGAAAAAGAATGGGTAATTAACTTTTGCGTTTGTACTTATTTGGTCTTTTTTTTTTTATTCAATATACCATCGAACTTGTTGTTGGTGTTTACCATAGCCCTTTTGACCGGCTTTTGACCTGTGATAACCGGTCAAAGGGTTATGGTGAACACAAACAACAAGTTTGATGGTATATTGAGTACAAAAAAAAATGAAAGGGACCAAATGAGAACAAATGCAACAGTTGGTTACCTTCCTAATTCATTTTCCTTTTACTCATTTACAACAAATCCCACATCATCTCCTAGTGATATTAATGACTTTATGAGATTCATTCTTGCTTCTCTTCAAAACATAACCTACGAAAGGACATTATTCATACATGTACAACTTTATAATGCACTTGAATATTTATTAGGAGAATCTTAACTAAGTAGACACATTTCATGACTACATTTACATTTGCAATCAAATGATTTATCGTATCATCGATTCTAGACAAGTCTACAAACGAGTGAAATCACAAGTACTATGATTTTTTAGTTTACTTAGCTTTAAGATCGAACTCATGGGATTAGATACAACATCAATATGTACAATATTAAGGTGATGTGTCTACAAATCAGCATGACAAAGTTTCGAAAATGGAAAATCTGGTCCATTATCTTTAGAGTTTTTATTATAATCAACCCGTATTCTTGTTTTCTATTAACTTGTTGGTACTTTTGATGTTTGTAAAACCACCCCTTCAACTTATATTATTTCATATTAAACTAAAATGATTAAGTTCAATCCCATTTAAGTTTCCTCTATGACAATTTATACCTATAAATGTCAAATAGATCCTTTTATTAATTAGATATTAATTAAACACTTGTTAATATCAAATTAACCATTTTAAGTATATCTTTAAAATAGTAACATTTGAAGACGTCTAACCCGAGTTCATAAGTGTTTCAATTCTTCCTTCATTAAATTTTTTTTATCTTCGGAATCTCTAAGTCATTGAAGTTTAAAACTTTAGGGTCTCTTTTTTATAATAAATAAGACAAATATAGTTATATTTAGGGTTAGGGTTCCATGCTTATGGGAGGGGAGGCCAGTGATGGGTATAAACTCGTCTCCAATATAACCGCTTTCCAATTTTGACAAGATTGGTCCCTCCTTCCCTTATCTTTTCCAAAATAAATTCTAAATTTACCTTTTTAACCCCTGATTCCATAAATCTTTACAATATAACTCCATAATTTACATTTTATCCCTTGCTTCCATAATTCCTTCCACATTGAGTCCTAACTATTACCAAGCAGCCCCTATCTTCAATATTACTTACAGATTAAGTCCAAATTTTACACTTTAACCCCCGCCTTCTAAAACCATGATAGTTAACTCGTCGAGACCAACACCTTGCTATATAATTATTAATTTTAGGGTTACGATTCATTCAGTAATTTGTTTATTTATTTATTAAATAAATAGGGTGTTACACATGATTTATCCTAGACACCCATAAGAGATCAAAATCATAAAGGATGTCTACAACATCCGTAACTATTCTAGGAGTGGTAAGTAATGTTGTAACACCCAAAGTTTTAAAAGACAAGAAAGGAATGAAATCCCAAATTTTAAGGGTCGACTCGATGAGTCCAAGGAGTGACTCGGCGAGTCCGAGCGGGATTCGGGTCAAGGTGTAAGTGGCCAACTCGGCGAGTCGGCCAAGTGGACTCGGCGAGTCTGGTCTGTGCGAGAAAAACCCTAAATCCGGGACTTTGGGCACTATTTAAGCTCCTTATTCTCTCCATTAGGGTTCCTTAGAGCCCCCCTTGTTCAGAAAACGAAGCCTAAGCCTCCATTGTTGTGCATTCAAGCTTCCAACCCATTTTTGGGTGATTTGAAGGAAGAAGAAGGAGGGGAAACAGTGAAGCTTCAAGGATTTGCTTCAGATCTGGAGTTTGTGGAACCTTTCTGAAGTATTGAAGGTATTAAGTCATTTCCTTCCCTTAGATCTATTTTGGTTGTGAGTTTTGGGGCTTTTAAGCCATGATTAGCCACCCTTATGGGTTAGAAGCCGGATCTGGAGTTGCTACTTCAGATCCAAGTGTGTTATGGTCTGGAGAAGCATAAAGTATCAGACATTGAGTCGATTTTGAAACCCCTTGGCCTTAAACCCTAGTTTATGGCATATTTTGCCTAGATCTCATTCTCTACACGTAAAGTTTGCAACTTTACGTGTGGAATAGGCTTGGGAAGGGTAGATCTAAAGCTTGGAGTCCATGCATGACTCAAAAGTCCTTTGCATGTAAGGAGAACTGAAGGGACTCAGCGAGTCCTATGGGTGGACTCGGCGAGTAGCATGAAGTTGTGGAGAAACTCGACGAGTGGGATGAACAACTCGTCGAGTCGTATGAAGATTGCCTTGTACTCGGCGAGTCTGTTCTTGGACTTGGCGAGTCAGGTCGCGAAACCCCAAACCCTTCGAGTTGTGACTCGAATCAGTGAGTCGGGTGGAGACTCAGTGAGTTGGATAGGCCTGGACTCAGAAATCGGTAGACTCGGCGAGTCATGGACTGACTCAACGAGTCGAGTCGCGAATGGAAGGAATCTTATCATTTTGAACTCGGCGAGTCAGTAGGGTGACTCAGCGAGTAGGGTTGACCTGGAAGGTTGACTTTGACCAGGACTTTGACCTTGGACCAGGGTTGACTTGGTTGTCTTTCGGGGGTTAGTTAGACTCAGTGTTGCATTGATATTGGTAGTTCGGGGAGCAAGGGGAGCAGGAGTTTCGTGAGTTGTCGGGCAGCAACTAGTGAGATCATCAGCAAGTTCAGCTAGTGCAGGTGAGTTTCCCTTTGTGTGAATGGGTCTAAGGCCACAATGCCGGCCCATGTAGTTATGAGTAGAAGACTCGGGGGTTAGACCTAGGCACAGTATGCTAGTATTATTTTCAGGACGAGGTCCAGTAATAGCGGGCGGGTGCCCAAGGAATTGTTTATATGATAGTTTATACTTGTTGTCTATGTGATACATGTATGTGCCTGGTAGGGAGGTGAGTGTGGGCGAGGTCCCGTATCTCACCAGTAGCAGAGTGTGGATCGGGTTCCATATCTCATTAGTAGCA